CAGAGGTGCGCGCATTCAAACCCAGCCATAGGAAAGCATTACTCAATGCTTTCCTATAGGGATCTTATTTGACGCTGGAGGTCCATGAGGACGTCCAGCGTCGAATAAGTGCGATTTACGCCGTATAAATCGCGGAAGCGCCTCTAGTGGCTGTTAGGGAGACAGCCACTAGAGACTGGATTAACCCTGCAGTGTAAACATAGCAGTCTCTTTGAAACTGTTTTCAGCAGCAGGGTTAAAACTAGGGTGACCTAGCACCCAGGCCACTTCATTGAGCTGAAGTGGTCTGGGTGCTTCTAGTGGTCTCTTAAATGATCATAAAGAACTCATTTTCTTTCTCATTTATAGTTTTGTGTGTCTGACATTTAAAGTACTTTTGTACCAATACAGCAAAAACTAGCTGGTTCGTAGTGTTGTACAAGTCAGAAAAATATCTATTTTTCACACCCTACTGCATAGTCACAGTAATCTCCAAGTAAACCTTATTAGTTCTAGTAAGTGGTGCAAAGTTATGTATAATGACCACTAGAGGGACCCAACATTTATCATGAAGAGTACGCTAGTAACCCTTTCTCTGTGTGCAGTGCCCTTGTGAATTGAGCCTCCTTTTCATTGCCTTTAACCCCTTAAGGACCAAACCTATGGAATAAAAGGGAATCATGACATGTCACACATGTTATGTGTCCTTAAGGGGTTAAGAGGGTAACTGTCTCTTTGACTAGGTTTTCCACTACAGCTGCATCTAACATTCTTTTGGGGAAGACTGTTTCAGTCAGAGAAGGAATAGGTGTAACCAGTGTCTAACTCGTTTGTCCCTACCCAGAATCTCTAGCGGCTGTATGATCCATGTAAACTGAGTGACGTGAAAGCTTGAGATGTCATTGTGCGGACGTAGCAGTGCTCTTTGTACAGTTTGTGAACGTGATCTGCTGATTGCTGCCCAGTTTAGTTTAAATTACTTTAATCATGCATGTTAATGAACAGTTCCCAGATTTGACCAGGATATTCGGGGTCTGAAAAATTATTGCCTAGACTCAGTGTCACAACCCTCACCAAGTGAGGCCTACTCTTATATAATTGTCCAGCCACAGCGAAGTATGTGCTAGTTCTAACACTGCTTCTTTTAACTTACTGATAGCTTGATCAAAAGCTCTCTGGCTGCATTATCATCTCACCCTTGTTTAGGGTAGTTTGTGCCTGCCCCACTAGTTTTGTCATGCATATCCCAGTAGCTTTAACAGAACAAAATACATACGTATAAGGGTGTCAATGGGCCCTGAATTATGTTTAAAGAGGTCATTCTGATTATTTTTTTTCAATGTAGTAAGTTAACGCTAGCTTGCTAGTTTCTCACAAATGAATAAACACCAGCTCTCGGTCATCTCGATTTATTAATATGGGCCTTGCTGATTAGAATCTACGTTGTCACTCACAATAATAAGAGCTTGTACTGCTCCCTAATATTTTTTTATCTGTATAGGTGAACTTTTTTTGTTTTAACATTCTTTTTAAAAATGTTGCTTTTTTTTTTTTTGTCCATGTTGTATTATATATTGAGTAGTTTAATGTTTTGCAGACCATGTCCTAGGTTGTGGTCAGAAACAGAAATGTGAGAAACTGTTTCCCGAGTAGTAGTTTTTGCTACACAGTACTAATTGCTACGGCAACCCTTTTACTATTCCCGGCAGAGTTGTAGGGCTAAATGTTGTCTCCGTATGGTTGTGGCTCTTAACCCTTTCAGTGCTAGAGGGGTGAGTGGCTATTAAATCTCTTCAAATACCAGTCTGTCATTTACAGTGTGAGAATTGTATGTACTTCGTTTTGTTTGGTTCTTGTCTTGGTTTTTTTTCCCACTCCTCATTTTAGTTTTTTTATCTAGAAAGCTGAATAGAGGTAGCAACAAAATAATGGCTCCTTTTTTTCCCCCCAAAGGAATCTGTGTAATTTCTGGATTGCTTATGTTTTTTTTTTCCAAGGTGCCTGTACTAAATCTGCATCGTTTCCAGTCTAACAATGCACTCCACTGACCTTAACAGATTAAGTATCGTACCATGCAGAGTGTTCATTGTCATGGGGTGTTGAAGGAGAATTTTCTCCTGGACATGAAATGCAGCTTTGACAGATTGGGTGATTAATAGTAGGTTGTATAACCTTCTTTTTCTATTTGAATAAGTATGACTTGCATACTTTTAAATGCTCACTATGTCATTTTTTTGTTTTACTCTCTTCAGATTTAAAGACCACATACAGACTCGTCTGCCAAGGAAGTTTCTGACAGATGACAAATTTCTAGAATTACGGACAGAGCTGGCTACAATGAATGAGCACTGCAGCTCCGTTACTGACCTTCCAAATGGGCTGGAGGAGATAAAAGACCCTGCAAAGGTGAGAAACCTCATGCGTCTTTGCTAATGGTATTGCAACAAACTTTCCATATTGGCACAAAACAGATTTGTGCAGCACGAATAGTTCACTTCTCACCCTTTTATCTGTGGTTTGATGGTTTTCTTTGATATATTTACATCATTTTAGCGCACTACAGAAATTGAGAACATGCGGCATCGAATCATTGAAGTCCATCAAGAGATCGTTAATCTCAATGAACATGAAGTGACCAAGAGGTGGTCTTTTGAGGAAGGGGTATGTTTTCTTAATTTATTCTTTGAGTTTGACATTTCAGATACTTTTCTCAATTGTTTTGCTATCTGATTTATGGTCCGCTCTGCAAATTTTTTTGTGAAGTATGTGAATTGATGTATAGTGGTGTGTTTGTTTATTTTTTTGTTTGTTTATTTTTTTCTTCACTTAGGAATGCATTCACTATTTTTAACACTTTATTTATTTTTTTTATTTTTTTTAAATCCTTTACTTATGAAAAGATAAAACGACCCTACTTTCATGTAAAACCTTTGGAGAAAGCGCAGCTAAACAACTGGAAAGAATATTTGGACTACGAGATTGAGAATGGGTCCCATGAACGCATAGTTATCCTCTTTGAAAGATGTGTAATCGCTTGCGCCCACTATGAAGAATTTTGGATCAAGGTAACTTGTCCATTTCCAGCTCATGTCCATTTCCTCCTACCATAAATTAATGAATGGCCACTTGTGCAACTTTATATTTTTTTCCCTTTATTTTTTTTTTTCTCTTTATTTTGTGTTTTGTTTTATCTATAACTATATCTATTGCATTAGGGGATGGTCTGCTTGCAACCTGATTTGACTGCTGCATATACCAACAGCGTTGCCTCTCTACGCCCTTCCTTACAGAGTCTAGTCTAGTGGTTCAATAAAGGTGCTGATCGGGTTTAAACCAGAACTTTATTGTTCACAAACACATTTATTTAGTTTTTCACTATGTTTGCTGGCTGTTATTAATGTACCTTTCTCCTCTGTTTAGTATGCCAAATACATGGAGAAGCACAGCATCGAAGGGGTGAGACATGTGTACAACAGGGCCTGCAACATCCATCTATTGAAAAAGCCTCAAGCTCATATACTGTGGGCTGCATTTGAAGAGCAACATGGTGAGAATTTCTAGCTTTATTTTAGAGAGCAAATCCTGATCACTGTTAAAGGATTACTCCAAGCACCATGACCACATTAGTGATATCTTTGGTCGTTGTGCTTGGAGTCTATGTGAAGAGTTTCAGTTTGTTAAAGCAAATTTAGAGAGAATCTGTTTACGGTAATTTTTTTAGCTATTTATTGCCTTCAGTCCAGCATCACGATATGCTCAGTAATGTGAGTGTTATATTCCTGTAACACCCACCCTAGGGTCTTCCTTCACTCTCATTTAATCTTCATTGCCAGAACATGGTCAACTGGGGTGGTATCTGTGTGATATGGCAATGCAACCAGCATGTTGCCATCATGGAGATGGATTGCCCTGTTTTGGGGAAGGGCCCACTGGCAGGACCAAAGTTAAGCAATGGATCCATGTGCCAAAGAACTGATTGACATATCGCACCCCAACTATATTTACATAGGGTTTATTTTTCTCCCATACATGTGATATAAATTCTGCTCGCGCATTATATAGGTGGAGCTTAATTTCTCGTTTAATTTGTTGAGTATCATGATAAACAAATATAATCTATGAGCACATGGTTTGTTTGGCTTGCCATTTTGTATCTATCATGATTTTAAACACCTGTGCTCACCCCACACTCCCAACATGCCTGTGTAACATGTCAAATTTAATTGAAGGCCTAGCTTCCTATCTGCCCATTACAGCTCACGTAGCGCTTTACAGGTTACACTACAGTAGGAGGTGAAGTAGGTATACCCTATATTTTATATAGCCCCAACAGGTTGTGGTGGTTTTCTTCCTTTTTTTGTTAGCAGGTTTATTTTTTATATTAGCAGAAAATTATTTGCAAAATTCCCCCCCCGCATTGGGTTGCTGAGTGTCAGCTGACTGCTTTCAGCCTATCACAGCTGCTCATTGCTGGAATGGATAGAAAGTATGTAATTTTTGACTTGGCCATACCTCCAGCAGATGGCTGGGCATTGGCCACTATAACTAAATGAATGAGATGAAATTATTATGGTGCCTACAGTGTCACTTTAATTTTATAGCTTGCATACTGCAATTTATTCTCCTTTTAAAATGTGACCATGTTATGTACTTGTGTCTCTTATCCAGAAAATGTGGAAGAAGCCAGACGCATTCTGAAAACACTGGAAGAATCTGTAGGTGATCTGGCAATGATTCGCTTACGTAGAGTTAATTTGGAAAGGAGACATGGGAACGTAAAGGAAGCAGAGAATTTACTTACTCAGGCCATGAAAAATGCAAAATCTAACAGCGAATCTTCTTTTTATGCAATTAAACTTGCTCGTCACCTATTGAAAGTGCAGAAAGATGCAGAGAAGGCAAGAAAAGTGTTGCATGATGCCATAACTAAAGACAAAGTAAGGCTTTCTCACTCTGCGTTCTTTGTATGTCTGTCCAAATGGTTTCATTTAAAGACCTGTAGATTCTGTGTTTTCACATACTGGCAATTATGATGATCAATACAAAGTACTGTATGTCATTTCCAATTTAATGCATGTAGACAACAGTCCCTCTAAGCTGACGTTGCCTTCACGTAACATTTTAGAGGTTTGTTTTTTTGGGTCTTTGGTGTAGCTTTTGGAATTGTTGATTTGGCCCCTAATTTGCCTTTTTCTGTACAGGACAATGCAAAGCTATACCTCAATGTCATTGAAATGGAATTCAGTGAAGACCTGAAACAAAATGAAACCAACATCTTGTCCGCTTTCGATAAAGCAATAAAAAGTACAATGACCATTGCAACAAGAATAAAGTTTTCACAGCGTAAAGTGGAATTTCTGGAAGATTTCGGTTTCGACATCAACAAGTAATGCATATTTCATTATTAAGGCGACGCTGTCATGCTAAACTTACCTTTTCCCAGTCGATTCCTCTTCTCTCCCTCTGTCAGGATCTGTTCTTCATTTCTTCCTATCTGCTCTAGTTTTCTTTAAAACATAAGACAAAGTAGGGACTATTTGTCTTATGGAGGTTTCCTATGCCGTGACCAGCGAAGGAGCAAAGTGTGCTTCATTTCTGGTGGTTAGAGCAATTCCCCCACAATTCTCACCTTTCTTCCGTGTTCCCGTGAAACCTCCTTTCACTTTTCCCGAAGTCCATTCATTTTAGACAGAATGCCAACGAAACTACCAAATTGCGTCCTATCAGAATGAAAACAGTGTCTCCATTCGTGTTAGAACGCAATTCGTGACTTTGTTCGTATCTGAATTTTTCATTCTGTTAGGATGAAAACAGAATGAAAAATTCAGAGTACTTAATTCAATTCAGTGATTTTTTTTTTTTTAAACTATGACCTATGCTTCTTAAATTGGAGAGCTCATATAGAATCTGCAAGGGTGGATTTGATTTAAATTAGATTTAAAGGCACTCTCTGGTCAACATAACTTCATCTAAATGAAATTGTTATGGAGCCAGGAGCTGTTTTCACTTTACGAGGTTAAGCGCTAATTGAACGGTTTAGCCCCAAAGGAAGTCTCCAGCGCCACTCAGCTTGCGAGATTGATTTTCATGAAGTTCCGCTGTGCACGGGCGCCATTGTTAGGCAAGGGCGGTCAGCTGACACTGTAAGCCAACCCGTCTCTCCACATTCATAAAGTACATATCTTTTTAGATGTTAGTGTTCCTTTTAACCCCTTAAGGACACGTGACATGTTCCCTTTAATTCCAGAAGTTTGGTCCTTAAGGGGTTAAATCACTAGTCAAACTCCATTTTAATCAGATTTTACACAAAAAGACGTATTCTTGGTTGTTGTAACATTTTACATTTCCAATCAGATTATTTCATATTTAGCATAATAACTTTTCAGATTAGTTTAACAGTTATTTTATAAATGATTTGTATATACCATTAGCAGGGATTGGTTAAGAGCCTTTTGTGCCTGTTGCTGAGGATTATGATGGGTCTGATTAGACAGAATTGTCTTGTACCTGGTGTAGATGGTGTCAGAGAAACTCTCAGCATGCATTTCTAAGAAATCCCATAAAATACTAAACTCTGATTTTCATCTCTCAGACAAGTTTTATCTGTCCATATTACAAGCCCAATAGCTTTCACTCCTCAGACTCTGAATCCTGTCTTCTCTCCTTCCCTCTTTACTAGCAGGCAGAGCTGTTCCTTGTGAGGAAGGAATACATTTATAAATTGGATACACTGAAATCCCCCTTTGTTTTCTAGGTTGTTGACTGCATATGATGATCATCAGAAACTATTAAAAGAACACGATCTCCAGAAGAGGAAAGCTGAAAATGGGTAAATTTCCTTATTTCTGTCTAAAGGGAGCAGATTGGCAATATCTGGAAACCAGATACAGAGAAGGAATAACGGCTAAAACGTTAGATTGTTGGCTTCCAATGGTTCCGATATGTTTCACAGCATAGCATGGCTGGAAAAGTATTTGAAAGGTTGAGGAATAATATTCAAGAATTCCTTGAGAAGAACATGGTTATCAGCAATAATCAGCACGGTTTTATGAAGCACAGGTCATGTCAAACTAACTTGATTGCATTCTACGAAGAAGTAAGTAGAAGTATAGATCAGGGTGTTGCCGTGGATGTGATCTATTGGGATTTTGCCAAGGCATTTGATACGGTTCCTCACAATAGGTTAGTGTTAAAACTCAAAGAAATCGGTCTAGATGAAAATGCTTGTTTTTGGGTAGAACATTGGCTTAAAAACAGAGTACAAAGAGTTGTCATTATTGGTAAATTTTCAAGCTGGACAGAGGTGGCAAGTGGTGTCTCTCAGGGTTCTGTTCTCAGACCTCTTATATTTGACATGTTTATAAATGATCTTGAAAAAAGCATTGAAAGTCATGTTCAGTATTTTTTTATTTTTTTTACTGTAAGAACAATCAGAATGTGGAATTCTCTGCCTGAAGTGGTTTTATCAGTGTTCATACAGATGTTCAAACAGCAACTAGATGCATACTTGCAAAACAGAATATTCAAGGATATAATTTTTCAATGTAGGGTAATAACTGCTTGATCCAAGGATTAATCTGACTGCCATTCTGGGGTTAAGAAGGAATTCTTTTCCTAGTTTGTTGCAAAATTGTGCTTCAAACTGGGTTTTTTGCCTTCTTTTGGATCAACAGCAAAAAACAAATGTGAGGAAGGCTGGACTTGATGGACGCAAGTCTCTTTTCCGCTATGTAACTATGTAGCATGGCAGACAGATGGTAATATAAAGAACTTAACAGAAACAAAGCCACACTGGAGAAATAAGAAACTGGGTTTCCTCACCTTTCAATACATTAAGTTAGAATACTTCCACATCTGCATCAATCTTAATCCCCTTTTCCTTGTTAAATCCATATCTTTATCCTGTCTGCAGCTTGGAACAACCTGATGCAAAGCGAGCACATATGGAGGAAATGGCAGCGGTTGCTTCCACTCCAGCAGTTCACCAAACTGCTGCAACTCCTGGCACTTACAACTATGCCAACTGGTATCAGGTAGGATCTCCTCATTTGCTGACATTTTGTAATTTTCTTTCCTGGATTGTTGTAAAGGCACACATACAAGGCAAGAGCGGATGTACACCAATTCAGATGTTTAATTTACCAGGCGTTATTAAACTCTGATAGAGCTCAGCGATTAGATGACCTGGAGGGTTTTTCCCCAGGTGTTAGACCTGGGAGTGGTGCTTTTTAGGCCAAACTATTTAAAACCTCTCTGGTGTAAGCCCACATGATAAATTCACAACTGAAACAGGCATTCATGCAAGTGCCAGCTTAATTTCTACAGTTATTTACCTGTACCAATAGTCTCTGAAAATGTACAGTTCGTAATTTTACAATGTCTCTGCCTTATGTAGTTAAAATTGTGTGTATGTATAGCTATCTTGCCAGCAACACTGCTTTGATGGGTTACAAATGTAGGAGAAATGTGATTGGGGGTGTTAATCTCTATTCCCCACAAACTATGAAACTGAGGTCTCATTAGACTTGTCATTAACGGTATATGACATCTAGGGGTCTAAAGGAACACTTCAGTGCCCAAATTGAAATTACTGTTTAGTGGATATACCCCAATGAATACTTTTTTATTTTTTTTTTTATTTTTTTTTTTAATGCATGTATTAGTTGGGATAAATTTTAAGAGCTTGCAAAGGCTGCAGTTCTTATGATTGCAGCATTTGCAAGCCTATTGAGAAGAAGCTGGAGGTGCTGATCTTTGTACAAAAAGGCAGGCTCATTTGCCACTTCCGTTAGCTATGGGGAACTTAGAGGAGGCTGTAAATCTCCCTTTTTGACAGCCAGGTAAGGTGTTCCATATTTTATTTTATTTATAGAAGTGCAGATTTCTCATATAAACTGGCTCTTTAACAAACTGGACTTTAAAATAAAATACTCCTCACCCATCCCATAAAGTACTTCGGCAAGCTGAAGTGATTTTGGGACGTGGAGTGGACCTTTAAACTGCTCCTGTTCAAAAGTGCTGGTCTCTAGGTTTTCTGAAACTAAAAATAAAAGAGATGACGTTTGCCATTACAATGTCTGGTTTTGCTTATAAGACATCTTTCTGTTCACAGTACAACTACCAGAATTACCCGAACACCTGGAATTATGGACAATATTATACCCCGCCATCCACCTGAGGCACTCTCTTCCTTTGTTCCAGAGTTAGGTTAAGAACTTGTGTTCACCAGGAGTGTTTACGAAGGAAACCGCAAGAATTATTTTTATTCCTCGTGGTCTTAGTTTTTTGGGAAAATTATCTGCAAGTAAACGCTTACCAAGCACAGAACATCATTTTCATATTCTGCTCCAAAATGTTCCCTGTTTTTTTTCCCTCCACCTCTGTTCTTAAAGTCCACAGAAAGAAAGTTTGATAAATGACATATTTTCCTGCTTTTTCTTGATTCTGTTTCAAAGAAAATATGTAAACCAATGTGTGCCCCCATCTTTGTCTCCACAATACTGTTTTTTTTTTTTGTTTTTTTTTGTTGGTTTCTCCACCCCCCCCTCCCCCCAATTAAGGTTGTCAGAAAATTGGTTAAAAGGGAACTATACCAATGAGAGAGGACGTGGGTGGGGGGCTCTGATTTTGTTTTGTTTTTTTTGTTTTTATGCTCTTCTTACTCTTTGCAAAACCTTTTTACAGATTTGTCATTTATTAATAAATAATGTGCAAATCTGTATCTTTTTTTTTTTTTCTAAATGTACAGATGAGTTTGTGTTCATGACCTATATATTAGGTACGTTTGTACGATATGTTTCTGTAGCCAAACGGTGGAAATTGTTCATAAAAGTATTGTACAACTCTACGTTTAACACACCCTTATCTATTTTTCTGTTTCATATAGGTGCCAATTTGTATAAAATGTTTTTGAACGCTGTATTCTCAAAATAAAGTTCTCCATGTGGCTGAGTTTGAAATAACGGTCTCATCTCGACTTTTCTTAACCCCTTGACGACCAATGAGATTTTATGCTATTGTGTACTATGCCAGTATGGAATTTGTATAAATCTGCAAGAGCCAAGAAAGTAACACTCTCTCAGAAAATGAATGGGACTCCATTTATTTTC